GAAAAAAAAGAAAAAAAAAAGTTGAACTAGTAGCTCCACTGTTTAAAAACATTATTTCTTCAAAGTTCTGGGTTTTTTTCTTCAAATTTTGTACACATGCCACAGTTTAATTCTTAATCTCAATTAATTCAAACTCCGACGAGATAAGAAATCTTTTATTTTTTTATTTCATGACATAACTTATATATGAAGAGTAATGTTCCATTATAATGTTACGATTCAGGCTCTGGAACAATATTATAGTTCTCGTTCCTCTTAACCAGAACAACCATGTCCTTGCCTTTGACTCATTGAAGATTAGCATTCTGGTCATGCGGCAACGCTTATAGGCACCCTGTTGGAGGCACTTAAAATTCTTATCAAGAAAAATAGAGTATATGATTCCCTGATTACACTTTTCCTGGAGATATTTTAATTGTTTTCTTTACACCTGAGTATGATTCCCTGATTACACTTTTACTGGAGATATTTTAATTGTTTTCTTTACACCTGAGTATGATTCCCTGATTACACTTTTACTGGAGATATTTTAATTGTTTTCTTTACACCTGAGTATGATTCCCTGATTACACTTTTACTGGAGATATTTTAATTGTTTTCTTTACACCTGAGTATGATTCCCTGATTACACTTTTACTGGAGATATTTTAATTGTTTTCTTTACACCTGAGTATGATTCCCTGATTACACTTTTACTGGAGATATTTTAATTGTTTTCTTTACACCTGAAACTGAAAAGGGCAGACAACAACATACAAATAGAATGCGTCATGATGCGGTGGAATCAGGCGCTTGTCAATTTTTGTACACAGAGTTGTGGGTTATAACCTTAAAAAGTTACAGCTTATTCATTGTCTGCTTTTGATGAATAAATCATCCATCTTCTATCTTCAATAGAAGTCGAGATATTTCAGATTGAAAGAGGTGAGGTCACTTGGTTTCAGAAGTAAAATTAGTCTAGAAAATGGCCCCCAAAGTTTGGTGACCTCCAAAGCTTGAGAGTCTTTGGAAACTGTACATCTACATTTTTTGTATGCCTATAATCAAAGTTTTTCAATAAAGTCCACACAGAAAAGTGTTGAGCCAAAAAATAAAGATATGATAAAAATTGCCAAACAGGAAGAAAACGCCATTTTCTTAGATTTCATTATCTTGACAAGCGCCTGATTTCACCAGGAAGCCTCACATACCATGATGTAAATTCAAGTTTCTGATTAGTGTACGAGGGTTCTATATGTGCGATACTCAATTATCATAATTATTTTATTTTATGTCTGAGCAGCAGCAGACCGAGGGAGTGTTACGGCACATATAGAACCCTCGTACACTAATCATAAACTTGAATTTATCCATTATGTTCTTACACCTTGGAGTGTAAAAAGTTCCCCTACAAAGTGCAAGATTTAACCTCTGAGATAAATAAAATCTAGCTACACCTCTAGGAGAAAATAATCCTAGGACTGAGCAGACTTCTATAGATTGGGTTTTTCAAAAGAAAGAGCAATCTACTGTCCCAGGAGTGCTGCGTTATTACTTAAAACTGATTTGAATTACTGGAATCAGAATAGTTCATAGTAGTTTAGCATTTCACACTATAGAGTCGCTGGGTGGGATGAATGATGTCTAAAATAAAATTTTTGGGTTGTTGTTTTTTGTAAGTGTTTTACGGCGTTCGCAAAAGCTGAATATGGTCATATATGAGGTCATATATTTATGTAATATGTGCAACTGTAGTAGAAATTAGAAAAATAAAGTCACCGATTTTTTTTTCTCCCCAACAAAATTTTCCCTGTGAATCCTTTAAATCAAACAGACCAATGAACCATTTTCACATCATTGTCTTCATTTCATTATAACAAATTAGCCGACATCACATTTATTTTTAATTAAAACGTTTTGATGATAACACACTGTATAACAGTACAGTAGGCCATAAGTGACTGAGCCAACACCTTGCTATCTATCATCATACTCATTGTGAACATTAAAAAGTTAGGGTATTTTTGCAGTATTGGGCCCGTTGAACTGTTTTAACCCGTTCCTGCGGGAGTCGGATGTTCCCCAAGAATACAAAAGCCTATTTCGGCACCTCGCCTTCATTCCGGTCCCGTGTCAGTCCAGCCCCTGGCTCAGCGCATGCACGGACTGGGTAACCGGTCATCTCGTCACATCCCAATTATGTGTGATGAAATGACTTCCCTTGTCTCTCGAAAATTGTTATAGCCCAAGAAGGGCAGAGTTTCCCCAGTAGTAACCTGCCCCAATGCATTTTCCATAAGAAATGCTGAAATTTTCAATTGAACAGGGTCAGGGCCTGTGCCCTATATATTGATGTTTGCAAGTGTGTGAGGAAATCCTTGTGGATTTGGGGTTTGACGAAATGACCCTGTGACGAGATGACTGGGGTTTTTGTCTTGTTTTTTAGTAGAGGGTTTTACGGCGCTCGCAACTGCATCGAGGGCAAGGTGCCAAAATTTGCTTCTCGGGCAACATAAACCCGGCCCCCGGTCTGTGACTTTGTCTTGTCTTTTTGAATTATTTGGACCAATTTGACCCTCAAATCCATTAAGATCTCAGGCTCAAAATCATGGGGACTTTCAATTTCAGGGAGCCAAAGCAGTGAAGTTGAAGGGGGCTTGCCCTGTCCCCCCGCCCGACCTTTTTGTCATTATATTTTGGTTTCAGAAGTGATTTCAATAGTCAACTGCCAAGTTACCTAAAGTCTAAAGTGGAAAAACAGACACATTACTTATCAATCATCATAATCATTTTAGATCTAAAAGATTAAAGTGGAATGAATGTACACCTCCTGCTGTTGACCGATCTTTGAACACAAAAATGTGAAATGAGGATGAGGAGTCAAATGAATATAGGCCTATAGGCACCCTTGTCGCCCTTGACAAGATCTCAAAATAAAAGTACAATACCACAAATAAACAAAGAAAATAAATCAAATGTATGCTCATATTAATATTATAGAATGGATGGCTTCTTTTGAGATCATTACGAAAGTGGGGCATCCTAAAGACAGGGAAAGCTGTACGTTTCTGAGTGTGAATTGGTTCAGCTGTCGAGTTGGGGTTGTCGTTTGTTGACATTTGCGGCAGGGATAAATCGAACGAATTGATTGAATTCAGTAGGTCAGGGCCATAATAATACGTTCTCAAGGAAGAATTAAAGGAAATCCATTTCTTTCTGAGCAATATTTTCTATCAATTTACCAGTAACCGTTCTCATGAAAGGGGGAAACCAGGGCGAGGAGCCTATTATTATGATGATAAGGATCGCAGTGCGAGTAGTGAGTGGGAGTGACTTAGGAGGGGGCAGCACAATTAGGATACATTATGCTCACCTGGTTGAAACTCAAAAGTGGCAGCTGTAAAGATCCGACTTCCAGGTACCACAAGGAGGAAGCTCAAAACGAGAAACCTCCAAAACATGGTTGAAAAAGTCAGATAATTACAGTTTCACAACGGGCCTTTTCACTTCTCCATTATCCCCCTCATTCGTCTCGCTGGCATAATCACTCTCGTCAATTCTCGGACAATAGCTCAACGCAACGCGAGAAGTATCGGATTGACGTCACAACACGGAAATGAAAACAAACATGGACGACGAAGACGTCATATTTCAGGTAACTCTTGCATTTTTCTCACCTTTTGGTCAACATGGTCTTCATATCAGGAATTTTATCAAGCGAACACTTTCATATGAAGCAGTACGAACGATTTGTTACTAGAAGCGTTTTGCTTTTCAACTCAGAGGAATGTAATTGCGAAATTATCGTTAATCGAAACCGGTGTGTGAGTGTGTGTAAGTCAGGAAAAGCGTTGCGACGAGCGATGACGTAAAATAGTATAGACTACACAATAACAAATTCAATATAAATATGTTCACAGCGTAGCATTGGCACTCCTCTCTCACATACCAACAACCCTGCGGCAACCCTGCTTAAACAACCTATGTTGGTGATAGAACAAAACCTGTGTTGGGTGGGAACCTTTGACTTTAACTTTTTTTTAAAAACAACACACCTAACCGACAATGACAACAAGTTTCTGTTCGGTTTACAAAATGTTTATAAACTCTTTTCCTACCAGGCCAAAATCCACCACTGACCCAGGGCTTGTCCCTGGCCTATTTTTACGCCCCTACCCCACCACAGGAAAATGTCAAAACATCCAACTAATAGAAACACACTCAAACCTTACAGAGTCTATAGATTCTATATATTGGCCCATCAAACTGAAGGTTAAAAAATAATCTATCAGATGGAGATACAGTTACAGTATGAAGATTTTTTTCCAATTATATTAGTTTTGGGGTTTCTAAAAGTGATTATGCAACATCGAAGGTGTCATATGAAAAACTATTTTCCAGCTTTGAAAGGTCATATCTAAAAAAGTAAAACAACAGCATCATTCAAACTTCCCAGGCACGTTGCCTCAAGTTAAGCAAAGAAATGCTGAAAGTTATATGTAGATCTATGTGTACGTAAGTGAAAATATGAGACATATACTGAAGTCAGGGGAGGGCATTTCTTCTCATTTTTACGTTTCGAAGGGGACAAAAAAAGGGCTGAAATGACTGAAAATCCTCTCTCAGTGCAATGTTTTCCTTCATAGCTGCAACAGGAAGTCTATTCTATTATTTTGAAAACTTGGATCGACCGAGAATTTCATTACTGGATTGGAATAGATCTAGATAGCGAGCCACTCGAGCCGTATTTTGCTGCTACTCTCGGTCCAGCGAGGCCATGTCCGCGAGCCGCAATACGTCTTGCGGTAGGGAAAGTGTTTAAATGGATCAATTTATATTGTGTAAAAGTACAACAATAACAAGCCTGCACTTTACCTACACAATACTACTTTTTATTTACAACTTAATAGTTTACTTAGTACTTTATAAAATATTACAACCAACATTTGAAAAATTATCATTGCTTGTTTGTTGATAGTGTCATTGACAAATCAATGTTGAATTTTAAATCGATTGTTGTTTGTTTGATAAATAATTATATGATTTTAATGCAAACTAATGGCACATTGATGCAAAAGTTATTGAAGGATGGGGCTTTTTAAATTTTGAAGTGAAATAGCAAGCCAGACAGAAAGGATTGATGAGAGAAATGGCCGAGAACTAACTAGAGATGTAGGACACCTAGCACCCTCAATGTTAACAGAATATTATTAATTAATATCTCTGGACTGTAGAGTTAGTTGAAGTGACAAGACTTAACATTTATCTTGGACTATAGATACGAGGAACCAGTGTCTATACATCTAAACACAAGTTTCCCAAAAGGTGTGTGTTATTATTCAATATTTCTCCCACTCCATTTAAGTTTTTAGAAATAATTTACGTGTTACATCGTGGTGAAATCAAGCACTCAGTTCGTCAAAATAGTAAATGTTTTAATGATCAAAAAACGACATTAGGTTCCGTTGGGAAAGTTTTATTGATTGTTTTATTTTAGTCTCAGCACCTCGGATGTTCATTTAAAATCACATTTCTGTGTATTTTACGAGAAAATGTTGATCAAAGGCACAGAAAGATGTAAAATCAAGCTTTGGAAGTCACTTGTTATAGCGACCATTTACACACTAGCTTTATCACTCTAACACCAGGCGACCCCCACGTCTTTCAATCCCAACAGACTTTATATTCAAAATGATGGGTGTTTTTTTTTCTAATGAAAATGAACAAGCTTTAACTCATTCGCTACGTATTATGTTCGGCTTGTGGACTAATTTTTTTTCGGGAGAGCGAAAGAGATGATGACTAGTAGGCAGTTAAAAGGTCTTTGGGGCAACAAATTCGAATAAATATCAACGTATTATATACCAATATTTTCAGTATGGTTTGTAGAATACATGTGTAATGTTTATTTATGTATTTTTCAACTTTGGTTCCTGTAAGAGACGATTATGCAACACAGTTTTGATTGGATGCGGATAAAATTTGAAAGTAAAAAATTTATAATATTTGGTGAAACTCAAAAAAAATGTTTGCACCTAGTCAAATGATACATCAAAATAACCATAGATGAATATAGAACTGGAAAATATTGAAAAGTTGGCAGTTATTTACCTACATTCCATAATATTTGTACATTTTGAACATAACATCCGATATTGAAAAAAAATAAAAAATTTTATAATCTTGAAAAACGATCACAAACAGAAAAAAAACCCCGCTCGTATCTTATATGGAATTATTCAGAATTGCATTTGAAATAAACCTATTCATCTCTTGAGTGGCACTTTTTGTGTAATTTCATCAAAAAGTCCACCTAGTGATTTTGGGGAGAAAAAAATATTTGACTATTTAGATCTAGACCTAGATCTAGCACTCAAAAATATTGATTTCTCAATAACAGTGCATTGGCAATATGAGTCCAATCGCATCAATATTATAAAAAAAAGAGTCCTGCACTTCTTTAGTGGGCAAAATAATGATAGATTTTGTTGTGTAAAATTACGAAAACTGGTGTCCGGGCTATAATTTTGGCATCGCGATAAAACAAAGTCGAATAAACTACGAAATCGCGTTTCAAAACTGAATCTAAATTTCCAATTTTCAGTGGAAATGCTTGACCCGGAAGTCAACAATATATTATGACTTTTATTTTAACATGGATATGTGGATAGGAATAGAATCTAAGCTAAAATTGAAGATCGGTTCTCGCGCCGCCGGGGCCAGCTTAGCGTACTGACGGCACTTTAGCCGCGCCGCCCCCCACGGCTCGGCGTAGCGAATGAGTTAGTATAATATCAATAACTCCCTATGCCCGAAAATTGACAACCGTGTGATTCCACCATGATGCGATACATATTGTAATAAATCAGCAAGCTATAAAGACTATAACTATAATTTGATTTAAAATGCTAGGTTTTTGGGGGCCACAAAAAACGCATTAAATACCAAGTTGATATATACTAAAAGTTGATTAATCAACGAGGCAATGGACTGATAAAACTCTCCTTCCTGCAGCTTTTTTCTCCCGTGACTGCTAAGGCTGGGGATTTTTTGGTAGTTTTTTGGGGGGTATCTTTCTCATGATCTCTTCCCGCAATGGGTTTGTTTTTGTTAAAGCTTGAAAAATGAAACCCTTTCGAATTCCACTCTGTCTTTTTGGATTGTCTCTATGTAAAGCAGTGTCATTACGTCACATTGGCCCACCTTCTGAATCGGCTAAATTTTGACAATAAGGGCATAAAAGCATTTACAATAAGACAAGAATCAAAGTCACACACACACACTAAAGAATGAGATTTTGAGCCTTGAACTGTTCTCTTTGATCTCCCCAGGGTGACGTTTTCAAATTAAGCGAGAGCAAGAAGAGGCTGGTGGGATCAAAGTCAGACACGTGGAAGCCCAGGTACCTGATTATCCGCAAGAAGGAGGACAAACCGGTGTTGGAATATCATCGGAAGAAACCGAAAAGCAGCAAAAAATATGAGAAAACACTCACAGGTAATGCTTGTGTAAACAAAAGTAAATTCTGAGAAGCTGAACATTTTTTTTACCTGAAGCATGGTGATAAGTCTTACATTTGAATAGCTGATTTTGTATAATAGAAAATTTTGTTTTAAATCCATTAAATCTGTAGTTGTTTTGTTTTGTAAAATAAAGTTTTCTAGCTGACCTGATGTTTCTTCTACCTGTGGCATATTTTACTAAGGGTAACAATGATCTGTCCCTAAGACAAGACTGGAGGGTGTCACTGTTAGATTCTACTTTTCTATTCCCCTAATTTGTCATTTTTGTCTGTTTTTCTTTTTCCCTGCACTTAATGATTGTTATGATGGCGTTGTTCTTCTCTTTACTTGGAATGCTATTCGAAAAGACTTTGGTAAAGCTGTTGATTTCTGCTTTGAATTGTTGTTTCAATTTCTTACGAAGTTTTCGGAAGTTCCTTCTGTTTTTCTGTTTTGCTTTCCCATTCTTTTGCAATAAAATCGGTTGATCTTTGGCTGAATAGAATTGATCTTTAAATCTTTTGCCAATTTTAAACAGGTTTGTTCACCTTTAAAATTTGTTTTTCAATTTTCTTTTTCAAAGAATCGTTTGAGCTGTGGCCAACGTACAAAGTGGAGAAGTTGCAAGATGCCCGTGGACGATCGTTTGTATGTGAAGTTACGTCTCCCGAATTTCACTTGTTCCTCTCCGGCAACACGGAGAAGGAGGTGGATATCATGGTCTTCCTCCTGCAGGTCCAGATACGCCTCAAGGCTAACATCACAGGTGGCACATCTAGACAATTTTTTTTTCTTTGAGGATTTTAAAATTTAAGTATCCTCATTTATTTTTAATCTCTGTGTATAATGTTCATTCAGTAAAGGAGATGCTTTGCTTCATTTCTTTTTTTTTTCTTTCTAAGTTTAAAGATATTTGAGGGTTGTTATTCCCTTACAGAAATTTGAGGATTGTATTTCCTTTAGAAATGCTCAACTTTGTAAAATGAGGCAGCAAGATCAGCAATGTTTGTTTCAGATCTGGCACTTGAAGAAGATGAAGAATTGAATGTTTCGTTTTAATCCAAAGGCCCATTTCTTGTAGTTCATTATGAGTATTGGTATGCTTATTTGTATTCAATGTTTTTCTGTCCTTCACAGAGAACCTGATCAATGTTTTGCCAGTGGATTCAGATACGCTGAAAAAAATTGGGGCAAAAGGAAAATGTTCTCTCCACGCCTCACCGTGGGGACTGACACTTGTTTTGAAGGTGAGGAATTCTTTGCTCCTAAGTGACTGTTCATGATAAGTATACTTATCTCCTGGCTGTGCTTCTGTAACTCTTTTATCTCCAGAGGAGGTTTTCCCCCCCTTGCCGGAGCCCTTTTTGGTATGATACCTTAGAGTTACTCATGCCTCAATAAACTAATCATTTGATTAAAACTGGTGAATGTATTTTGATAGTTCTTTATCAAATAAAGGAACTCCCTTTATGAAATATCTTTGTTGGGCAATGGCCGAAAACACAAAATGTCATCGTCATAACAGAATTTGCCCAAACCGCTGACATCAGATCAAGGGCACAGTGGTTCTGACCGCAAGGTGCTGGGGGTCTTTTATGGCCATTCTCCTGGCTGGTTTTAACTGATCAGTGTTATGTTCCCAATTATAATCAGACGCGGGTGGTTGGAGGAAGCTACTGGTATTTTCTACTTAATTACTCTCTCATTGTGATCCTTGGTCAGTCTCTCCAGCTGTCTCTGAGTATGTCTGCTCCTCCTTGCCTGTACATCCACATCACAGCATCTCTTTTCTTTTCCTCATTAGTCATCTTCTGAGCTTTTCCTTCCACAGCAAACCCGTGCCCTACTAGCCCAGTGGCCCCTGAAAAGCATTCGCTACTACGAGACTTCTGGCTCCGGAACTTTCAACATTGAGGCCGGCCGCGTAGCACCCATGGGAGAAGGCTTATTTAGCTTCAAGACAAAACCCGGAGAGGACGATTTTATCTACGATCTCATCGACAATTTTATCGTGGACACCTTGGACCGCGTTAAGGTATGTGAGGAATATAGTTGTGGGCATATAGGTAATTTTTTTGGCAGTCTTTGGTATATTGTAAATAAGTGAGAAATGTGGTAGTTCCTGTACAAGACAGAGGGATATTGTAGGTATGTGAATGTGGTAGTTCAGGTACAAGATAAAGGGATATTGTAGGTATGTGAAGAATATGGTGGTTCATGTACAAGATAGAGGGATAGTGTAGGTATGTGAATGTGGTGGTTCATGTACAAGATAGAGGGATAGTGTAGGTATGTGAATGTGGTGGTTCATGTACAAGATAGAGGGATAGTGTAGGTATGTGAATGTGGTGGTTCATGTACAAGATAGAGGGATAGTGTAGGTATGTGAATGTGGTGGTTCATGTTCAAGATAGACGGATAGTGTAGGTATGTGAATGTGGTAGTTCATGTTCAAGATAGAGGGATATTGTAGGTATGTGAAGAATGTGGTAGTTCCTGTACAAGATAATAGGTGAGATGTTGTGGGTATATGAGGAATGTAGTAGTAAGTGTATAGGTCCTTTCCTGGTCGTCAGTCGGATAGTGTAGATAAGTGAGAAATGTAGTAATGAACGTACTGGATAGTGGAATATTGTGGCGTGCTCTTTGTGTACTATATATATAACAAGACTAATTGTACCAATGAATAGATTGTTTTTTCCATTATTAGTAACAACTGTTTTTCACGCCTTCATAATTTTTTCATTATGTGGGTTTGACACCTCTTTCAGCATTGTACACTTATTAAGGATGAGGAAGGATGGATGGAGGGGGAGTAGTCAAGAAGATAGTCAAGAAAGTTAACTTGCAAATGATCAGTTCTTCAATTTTTCTAGCTTATTGATGATAGACTTCTGCAATGGTGTGACTGTCATTTCTTTCGTAAAATTTGTTTGTGTCCTGAAAGATTTTAATTCAGCCTGCCTCTTAAAAGATTTTAATGGTGTCAATGGAGGCGGAAAAAAATGTAACCCCCCCCCCCCCCCAAACTTAGAGGAAAAAAAACCTAGGACAAAATTAACCACTTGCAACTTTTCGAAGTGTTTTATATATGACATTGAGACATTGATATCTTATTTATTTCTACAGCCCACCCAAAAAGGAACGCCGGAGGAAATTGCGGATTACATCCGAGAACACGACTGTCTACATTCATTGACCACGGTCAGCGTCTGCTCACGCAGGACACCGGAGATACAGAATGTTCTTAAGGCAGTCTGGAATATTGGGTCCTACAGTTCAGGTGAGTGGGAGTATATATATATATATATATATATTCCTGTTCTCTCCTTTAATCTATCTCTCTCTCTCTTATCTTATCCATCCATCCATCTGTCTCTTTCTCTCTCTGTCTGTCTGTCTGTCTGTCTGTCTGTCTGTCTGTCTGTCTGTCTGTCTGTCTGTCTGTCTGTCTGTCTGTCTGTCTGTCTGTCAGTCTGTCTTTCTTTCTTTCTTTCTTTCTTTCTTTCTTTCTTTCTTTCTTTCTTTTTTTGTCTTTCTCAATTCATTTATATCTGTTTCTCTCCCTCTCTCCCTCTCTCTCTCTCTCTCTCTCTCTCTCTCTCTCTCTCTCTCTCTCTCTCTCTCTCTCTCTCTCTCTCTCTCTGTCTCTCTCTCCCTCTCTCTCTCTCTCTCTCTCTCTCTTTTTTATTTTTTATCTCTCTTCTTTTCAATCTCTATATATCTCCCTCTCTCTTTCTCTCTATCCCCCCTTATCTCTTCCTCTCTATCCCCCCTTATCTTTTCCTCTATATCCCTCTATCCCTCTTCCTTATATAATATCTCCTCCTTTATCCCTCTATCTCTCTCATCTCCACTATCCCTCTATCTGTCACAATCTCCTTTTATCCCTTTCTCTTTCAATCTCCGTCTATCTATCCATCTGTCTCTTTCTATCTATGTTCCTCCATCTCCATCTATCCCTTTATCTCATTCAATTAAGCCGAAGGGCTAGAACCCATATGGCTGCTGGATCGGAAAAAGTATCTCATTCAATTTGTCTTTTTCTTTTTCTCTTTCTCTTTCTCTCTCTCTCTACACCCTGCCTCTGCACACCTCATAATTGCTATGAGATTTTCTTCTCACTGTAATGGATAGAAAGAAATTATTTTGCTCAGTGAAGAAATTTTGTTAGTCCAGTGTATTTTTTTTCTCTTGTATTTGTTGGTAGGTCCTACTTCTTTTCCTCCCCTCTGCTGTTTCTTCTGTCTATTTGTCTTGCTTTTTTCCCTGGCGCTAAACTAAATGACTGTTATTGTTATTGTATTGGGTGTGTTTTCTTTATCAATGAATCATAATAGTGTGTTGTTGGCGGGTGCTCTGGTGGGGTTTGCTTCTTCTTTCCTATCAAACATCTATCGTCCTTGTCTCCCCTTCTTTTTTTTTATGTTTGTTACTCTCTTGTGACACCTCTAATCTTCTGATGCTCATATGACCTTACGCAGTTGCGAGCGCCGTAAAACCTCTACTAAAACTAAACTAATGAATCATAATAATATTCTTGTATTGTCGTCTCATGACGCTCAATGTTAAAAACAATAAGGAAACAACAAATGCAGTTTTTGGGACACCTGAATAGACATAAGGGTCTTGAACATGTATCTCTCACTGACAAAATTGAAGGTTGTAAACGAGGCAGGGGTAGGCCCAGAGCAACCTACTTAGGGAACCTAATCAAATGGGTAAAAGGGAAAGATCAGGGAAACTTAGCTTTTTTAAGAGCATCCGAGCAAAGGAATGAATGGAGAACCATGATTGTCAATGTCTGTCGCAGATCTGGCACTAGATGATGGTGATGATTGTCGTCTCTTTTTGTTCCAGAGGGCTCTGCCTCCTTGATCAGTGGTCAGTCTGGCCGGTCCGGGGGAAGAAGGGAAAGGTGAGTGGATTGTTGTTGTTAATGGTGTTGTTGCTGTTGGTGGTTGGAGTGGTGATGGTGTTGTTGTTGGTGGGGGTGTTGTTACTGGGATTTTTGTTGTTGTTTTGTGTTTGTGTGTGTGTGAGTGGTATAGGGAGCAAAAGAATCAGTTGTTGTGGTTGTTTATATTTTTCACTATGTTTATCCTTGACCCCAAGAGGCTGAGTTTTTGGCATACGTTGCTTGGATGTCTGGAACTAGAATGTTGAACTAATCACAGAAAGATGATGATGCCAGTTGTATCAGTGTTATTGCTGCTGTTATTATAAAAGAAAAAGGTAACAGCAGCCCAAACCCCGCCTTTCCCCCACTCCTACCTCCCTCATCTCCTCTCCCCCCCCCCCCCCCCCCACACACACACGCCCTCCCACCTCTTTACTTTACTCATCAGTACTAACAGTAAAAAATTATAATTGCCTTTCCTCCTTCATCCCCCCCCACCCTGCCCCTCACAGTTCTGGCAGCAGTTCGAACTCCAACTCCCTAGAACGTGGTCAAGCTGTGGTCAGTTCATCTTCCTCCTCTCGCCTCGTGATCAACCTGGAGCGCCCAGAACTGGATCGAACCAGTTTAGCTAGCAACAGAACGGTAAGCAGCAGTGGTGGTGGCATGCGAGAGGAACCGGTCTCCGACCGCCCCCCTCCCCTCCCGGCCCGTGCTCCAAAACACAACGGCGTGCCTCGCAGGAGTAGGAGAAGAGACCACAGCCTTCCAAGAAAAGCTGATGTGATGGCCAAAATGGCAACAGGAGCCACGGCAGAAGTACCTTCCCTGGCTTCTATGGGCGAGAAGTTAACCGATACTCAGCAAGTTCCTGCGTCTCCAAGGCGACACTCAAATCCTTCAGATTCGCTTCATCGGGTAAACCATGATGACGGTTTGCTCACTCCCCCGATCTCACACGCTCAAATTTCCCCTCGCTACCAGAATGCTCCCGACCAGTCACACACTCAGTTTCACCAACTCAGCGGGCAGCAGAACATGAAAGTTCGTGTATCCAAGTCCCCCGTTGTGACCCGCAATCCTAATAAAGTTGGCCGCGCCGAGTACTTGATTAACCAGCCAAACAGTGGGCTACGGTCCCCCACCACGGGCCGCAGCTCTGAGACGTGGACTCTCGACCCATCGCACCTGCGGGAAAACGACAGGCTAGACGAACAGGCGTACATGGATGCCGTGGCCAGGGCCAGTCGGCAAAAGTACGGAGGGGGACATAACTCCATCGACCGGCGCTGGGCCAAACTACAGCGAGAAGTGAGCTCCGATTCCCAAGACGTTGTGTCGCTGTCATCGAGGACTGGGAGTGTGAGCAGCCCCAGCACACCCGTGCCCTATAGACCTTCTCGCACGTACGTCAACATAGCAGTACCGGAGGTCAGCCATGAGAGACAGAGGTCGGCCGATGGTGTGATGGGAGGGGGGGGAGGGACCAACATGCTTCCTCCTCCTGTGTCCCCTCCTCTAGTCATCCGACATGGCAGACAGCGATCAGCTGATGAGTTTAGCCGCTCGTCTTTTGGCAGTATCGATCCGAGGAATGCAGCCGCCTTCTCACAGTCTACGGATATGCATCACAGCCGCCAAAACTCTGTGACCAGCACCAGTGCCTGCAGCACTCTCAGCCGAGGGAGGGGAGATAAGAAGGAAGGGGGGGCAGCCCCACGGATATCTTATACATCACAGGTCAGTCAAGCCTCCAGTAAGGATGGAGTAGCGGCCCCTGTGGTGGACTGGCTTATGTCTGCCAGTTGTGAAGACTTGAGTGATCACATGAGAACAGCAATCTACGACGGTGAAACTCAAAGCAAAGAGGAGGATCAGGGCAATACGTACGAAGAGATTGATACCAGTAAAACGGAAGAGGTCAACAGACAAGAAGTGACATCTCCCTCACTAGGGTCAGCTGTAGAGGACAAACCCCCACTGCCGTTCACTGGACTGAAAAAGTTCCACGACAACACAGACAGCGCATATGCTCGGGACCGCAGCAAGTCATTTGGTTATGTGAACATCCCGAGCCCCAGTAGTCCTCCGACCCCCCACAAACCTGCTAGCACAGCGCCTAGTGCACATCTCATACGCAAGATGGTTAACGCCCGCGCTAAACAAGACACCCTTCGCAAGTCGCTCTCGAACCCAAACTTCCTCAACCTGGGCAGCAAAGAACACTTATACAATCTCAAATCAACAGCGACCACCTCCAACAATGGCAACAAACTGGCCGTAGGGAGCAAACAGAAAAGTCGCTCCATCGGCAGTTTGTTCCCGGCCATCAAGAAAGCTTTCAGCAGAGAGAGTTTGGGTCACAGCAGGTCTACCACGCCCGAACGCCGGGCCAGCTTCAGCCACAAGCGACGCAGCAGCGAAGGCGAGTCCTCCTCCTTTCAACGACAGAACAGCTGCCACAGTCTTGGGGAGATAACCATAAAGGGTATCCGGCTGACGGAGAGAAGCAGATCATTCCGGAGAGTGAGAGGGGCAAAGTCAGTGGAGGTGTTGGCGCGTACAAATGACGGGGAGAGGTCGGAAGATAACCGCCACAGTACGGGCACATCCGTGTCGGTCCACAGTGCCGTGTCTCAGTCCTCTCGCGATACTCATCTCTCAGCTCCGGGCGACGTGAGGTCGTCATCAGCCGACACGTCAGGGTCAGGAACCTCTGCTCAAACAGCAGCTCCCTCCACACCAGAAGGAAGTACTATCAGTCCACCTGTCTCTCCCAGAAAATCCTCCTCCTCCCGGAAAAAACCCAGTTCTGGTGCGAGCAATCCCGGGTATATGTCCACAACTTACATCTCACTCACATCCTCCGATCTACCTCCTTTACCCTCAGTTGATAAGTCAAAAGTCACTCCGTCTTCCGCCACCACCACCACTCCTTCCCGCACTTCGTCTTCTTCATCGTCTCAGTCGCCTTCATTATCAATAACGACATCGTCCACCGGGAGTAAATCCCCCAGCGTGCTGACAAGGACACCCTCCCACACCCCTGAGCATGATCAAATCGATGAGAACAGCAATAAGTGTAACAATAAGGGGAAAGTGAACCAGTCCAACCATCATCAACATGACGGCGACTCGCCCTCTGAACCAAACTGTCTTCCGATGCAGAGCGGGGCTTCTCCCGATAAATCAAATTCTCCTAAGAAAAAGCGCCCCCATGTGAGTGACCTCGTAGCCAAAATTGAGGGCTGCAAAGGGGATACAGATCCCAGTCTCTCTACCTCTTGCAATCAAGTCAGTAATGTGTCCTATCAGTCATCATCCTCTTTATCATCGTCGTCGTCGTCATCTTCCGCAACTGTAAAACCTTTTCAGCCGATGCCATTCAAGAAACATGAAAGTAAATCAAGACCTTTCTTTAGGTCAATGAAATCGAACAATTCGGAATCTTCAGCATAGCTAGATCATTTCTGTTAGTTATGATTTATAATGATAATGTGCTTCTTGTCATAAGGATCTGAAAATGTACGAATAACTGTGTGGAACTTTATGTTTTATTTTGATGGTCCGGGATTGGTTGCTACTTGAAGTAGAAGTAGCCACTATCCTGGATGCTTCGTTGCATCGACTTTGTGGTATCTGGTACCTTCTGTCAGCATTGTGTAACACGATGTGTTGTTACATAAATAAAAATGGACAAAAATATCTTGTTACAAGTATTTTTATACTCTGCCCATTTTTCAACGAGAATTGTACGTTATTTTCTACAGTGGACATACTCCAAGGTTTTTTTGGTTTTTTTCTATACTCAGACTGATATTTTCAATAAATGAAGGTGTATAGGTTTCACTTCTCTTAAAGGAGAAGCTCAGAGTGATTGAACGACTCGTGTCCCTTTCTTTACCATTCAAGCCTGGAGCTCCAGGAGCAATGTTTTGCTTGTGGGGCGTATGAAAATATAGGCAGAGTGGGAGACCCATAAACACTGAGGTCTTGCCTGTAAGATCGTTGAGGTGGGGGAGGGTGAGAGCGAGAGTGAGAGTGAGAGCGAGAGCGTTGGAGGGGGGGGGGGGGGGGGGGGGAATGCATAGAAAGTCCATGAGCGATAAGGTTTTGTCAGTGAGATGTATGAGGGAAGGTATGGAGAGTCTATGAGTGTTAACATTAAAGTCTTGTCTTGTCTGTAAGGTGTTGGGGGGGTATAGAGAGTTGGTGAGTGTTAATATGAAGGTTGTCAGTGAGATGTATGAGGGAGGTATGGAGAGTCCGTGAGTGTTAACATTTTGGTCTTGTCTGTAAGGTGTTTGGGGGAGGTGGGGTGTTTACAGAGAGTTGGAGAGTGTTAACGTGAAGGTTGTCAGTGAGATGTATGAGGGGAGTTATGGAGAGTCCATGAGTGTTAGTGTTGAGGTCTTGTCCCTGACGTAACTGAAATGCGTGAAAGAAAAGCTTGAGACATAACACCTCGCTCATATTGGGATAATAGTTGAATTGTTCACCAAACCTGGTAGAGCATACTTTTTGTCCTTTTCCTCTGTCATTTGCGTCTGTTGGTCTTACTTTTTAATTAAAATAAAATCTTGTTTCAGTGATTATTAGTGTATGTATGTATTTCCTGTTTTCTCAGACTTGAGTTGTGGAAGGCATGGAGTGTGACAGAGCCTACTTTCCTCTGAATATATACACTCTGTTGTCATGCAATTTATCACCATTATTGTTTATATATAAGTATTATTGATGCCATGTTGGCCACCTCTCAGAGGGCCTTACTCTGATTGTTATGCCATTGTTTTTGTGTTTCCTTCAAGGGTAATCTTTCTCAGCCATAGTTCCAAGGAGCCCAATGTAAAAATGGGAACAAAAATATTCTTCCCATGACATGACTTCTTTTTATAAAATCATATTTTTCTTGTTGAACGAGTTTTATAAAAATCTACTAGCATAGATCAAATATAAGCGGTTGTGCCTTATGTGTATACTTAAAAACGAATGGCAGCAGAAGTGGTATGCATCAAAACATTGTATCCAGCAGAAATTAAAATTACAACGGAACTGTAAATTTTATACAGAACAATTTAGACCAACTATTGGTCGGCAGTAAGCAGAGATTTATTTATTACTGCTTTTATCAAAGACTTTTATCATTGACTTAATTTCTTAATGTGCCTACTACTCCAGTGCCCTTCCACTGTAGGTGTATATTGTCAATAGGGGGTGCAAAACACCAACAATTACAAAATTATGAATCCAGTTTTTGTAATTGAGATAATTATACCCTCTTGATCAAATATTTTTATCACATTTTTTATATGATTGGTAGTTTTGAATAAATGACTATTTGTAGCCAAAATAAAAATCTATGCAATGAGATCTTCCATAGATGCAGTAGTCATACAGTAATCAAATAGTTTTTCTATCGATACAATGGTTGCTCCTTTTCAAATAGTTCTTCCATATATGCAATCGTTGTACTTGATCAAATAGTTCTTCCATCCATAGATGCAATGGTCATACATTTATCAAATAGTTCTTCTATTCTGTTTAAAACTTTTATGAAATTTTATTAAGTAAATATTCAAAGGTGTGGTCGCAGCAAGACTGTCATCAATTTGCCTCATCAATTTGCCGCAACTGCAGTGGTGGTGAAAAGCAAAACAATCAATGGTCTTAACCCAAAGGTGTAAGTTGTCATATTAAAGTCACGTGAGCTGCTAGTTAGTAATATTCTTGAAGAGTTTTATGTAAGTCAATCAAAAATGTGGGTGTTCGCAGGTTCTCTGGTGTGGTTTGCTCCTTCTTTCCTGTCAAATGTGTATTGTCCATATCTTTCCTCCTTATTTTCTTTGTATGTTACTCCCATGAAACACCTTGAATCTTTGGCACTTTTATGATATATTTGGATTGTAATTGCAGTAATACTTTTACTAAAAGTAAAGCTATACTCAATCCAAAATGAGTCACTCAAATCAGAGCATTCTTCATCATGAATACTTTCGTTAATATTCATGAACAAGTTTTGTGCAACTCAGTTATAAAGCATTTAAATTGTGTGGATTGAGGCGTCAAACATATATACAATTATTTTACAAGTATAAATTGTGTGTAAGTCCATCATAAATGAGTCATTCAAGTCAAAAATATTTTCAGTTGTAATCTAACTACACAGGGAAATTAATTTTTTTTTTTTTTTTTACTTTTCAATGCATTCAACTTTCTGTTTGAATACACCGCTGAAAAGACCTTTGTCTTTACTCTCCATCTGTTGTTTCTGTTTGTCTTTCTCAATTCTTCTCGACACTAACTGACCCTTATTGTATCCACGCACTTCTTTTTACGCAAACGAACAAACTGGAGTTGAGGAAAGACACAAAGCACTCACAAGACTGTCTTTCCGCAAATGTTGGCTACTGCTGTCACTATTATGAATTTATTTTTGTAATAACTTTCTTTACGCAGCAAATGTTATGCTCTTAACATTTTTACACAAGAGAATTTTCTATGTACTTAAGAGTTGTGAATGAATACAAGTTGACAACAAGTGCCGTTTGCCGTTTTCACTTTATATTTTGATTCTGTACATACTGGTAGTTTAACCAAGGTGGGCCTACAATAGTTGTGGTAATAAGATATAAGACTTAGGGGGAGAAAATGGCAGTCATATTTTTTATTATTTTGAATTTTACCCGACAAGACACTTCAGTTAAACAGAACATTTAAAAGCAAGTAAATGGTTACTGGTCAATGTTAAAATGAAGAGATGAAATGGTGTGTCCTTAGGAAGATATGAGGTTTCAAACTTAACCTTGAGAGTTTTCAAAACCACCAAAGTGTGAGTACCAGTTTCTGTTGTCTAGTCATTAGGTTCTTTGCTATGGCACACAGGAGATCGGAATTTTATTCCAGGGTGGGGAAAATTTTATTGAGTATCTCAGTCGTTCTGCTGGGATGTTGTATCCCGCTCAGCCTGGGTTTACTCTGACTGGCAGGGTCAAAGTTCGTCTCCTTGATTTGAATTGTGTTGATGGGGGAGTGAAATGCCTGCATCTTTAAAAAAAATGGCTCTTCCGTTTTTTCCCTCATAGTCTTTAAACATTCCTCAGTCGATGGGAGAGTGCTGTAAATTTTACAGCGTTTCTTTTGATGCTGATGTATGTCACATGTGCTGATCTATGTCATATATCTTGTCACTTGTGCTGATGTATGTCACACAAGTGCTGATGTATGTCATATACCTTGTCACATGTGATGATGTATGTCACACAAGTAATGATGTATGTCATATATCTTGTCACATGTGCTGATGTATGTCATATATCTTGTCACTTGTGCTGATGTATGTCATATATCTTGTCACTTGTGCTGATGTATGTCATATATCTTGTCACTTGTGCTGATGTATGTCATGTATCTTGTCACTTGTGCTGATGTATGTCATGTATCTTGTCACAAGTGCTGATGTATGTCATATATCTTGTCACTTGTGCTGATGTATGTCATATATCTTGTCACTTGTGCTGATGTATGTCACACAAGTACTGATGTATGTCATATATCTTGTCACATGTGCTGATGTATGTCATATATCTTGTCACATGTGCTGATGTATGTTATATATCTTGTCACTTGTGCTGATGTACGTCATATATCTTGTCACAAGTGCTGATGTATGTCATGTATCTTGTCACATCACAAGTGCTGATGTATGTCATGTATCTTGTCACTTGTGCTGATGTATGTCATGTATCTTGTCACATCACAAGTACTGATGTATGTCATATATCTTGTCACTTGTGCTGATGTATGTCATGTATCTTGTCACTTGTGCTGATGTATGTCATGTATCTTGTCACTTGTGCTGATGTATGTCATGTATCTTGTCACTTGTGCTGATGTATGTCATATATCTTGTCACATCACAAGTGCTGATGTATGTCATGTATCTTGTCACATACGCTGATGTATGTCACACAAGTGCTGATGTATGTCATATATCTTGTCACATGTGCTGATGTATGTCATATATCTTGTCACATCACAAGTGCTGATGTATGTCATGTGTATTGTCACATCACAAGTGCTGATGTATGTCATGTATCTTGTCACATCACAAGTGCTGATGTATGTCATGTATCTTGTCACATCACAAGTGCTGATGTATGTCATATATCTTGTCACTTGTGCTGATGTATGTCATATATCTTGTCACATATGCTGATGTATGTCACACAAGTGCTGATGTATGTCATATATCTTGTCACATGTGCTGATGTATCTCACATGTGCTGTTGTATGAGTCATATGTTTTGATGTGTGTCACATCGTGATATCATTTTCTGATAAAGGTCACACCAGTCTACATCATTGTGAAGTCAAGAGGGGTTTGGTTGTGTTGATTTTTTTTGGGTCTTTTTTTACACCAATGTATTTTGATTTTTAAACTACCGAAAATTCCAGCAGCAATATTTTACTAGTGATGGTATCGGTTTTGTCAACATTTGTGTGGATATTTTGTCTTGCTTTGTTGGTCGGAAGTTTTTGTCTATAGACCCAGCGTTGAATGTATAGAATTTATTTATATAAATTTTGATGAACAGATGCATTTTAGCACTTTCCTAACGATTGTTATATAATATATCTTTTATCTATGCAACGAGCCATTAATGAACTAATGTTTGTGATTTGCAAATATTTAAATCCTGGACGTCCTTGCGTGTTGCTTATATGGTAAAAAGGTAAAATTTATTTTTTTTAATATACTTTGATTGAAACTGTGATAGCATAGGACTGATTGTATATCATGTTTTCTCTGTGTGAGTTTGTACAGTCGACGTGTGGTGAGTGTGTATTTGTGCGTGT